CCTGCCTAATACAGTGCTTCATAGTTATTCTGTGATTGGTTAATTTCTTATAGGATAGGAAAAATAAAGGGACCATTCTCTTTTGCAGCTTTAATTAGATTAAGAGGCAGGAAACATCTGTTCAGTTTCCTTTTGACCTCCCAAATGTTTTATATACCAATACACATTGAGTAAACATTGCAGACTTGTTTTAGTTAAGCTCCCAGCACCACTATCGTTTACATCTTTGTGTACATTATATATGCATGTGTATGTGTGTGTGATGTTTATAAACCAATGACAAATATGACAAATGTGCATCAGCCACAAAAGAACCTTCAAAATTAAATAATTTCTGATATTGGTAAAGAGAGTTTAGTGAAATAACACATATCTTAATATCTGAATAGCCCTGGCTGGTGTGGCTCAGTGGACTGAGTGCCAGCCTGTGAACCAAAGGTGCAGCAGGTTCAATTCCCAGCCAGGGCACATGCCTGATTTGCGGGTCAGGTCCCCAATAGGGGGCGCACAAGAGGCAATAACACATTGATGTTTCTCTCCTTCTCTTTCTCCCTCCCTTCCCCTCTCTAAAAATAAATAAAACCTTAAAAAAAAGTTTGAATATATGATCCTATCTCAACTCAAAATGGAATTATTTGGTAAATCACACAACAAAGTAGGTCCTTTCTTCATTTCTAAATTCATTCGTTCACTCAACATTTACAGTGCGCCTTGGCAACAGTACATATAATTTCTGTAAGGGCATAAAGAGTTTGTAAGGACTAGAGTTGGTACACACAAAAGAGCATTTCTTAATATGGGTCCCATCTTTCAAGGGAAGTAAAGAACTTGTGAAATTTATATTTGCATATATAAGAAAAAGATTAAACACATCCATAGCATAGAAGCAGGTGATATCCGAACCATATACTGATACACGAGCAGCATTTACCAACCAGCCACCATGTGCATGCTCTCTTCAACAATAAATGATTTTTGATAGTATCTTGTCATGATTTCAATAACTTTTCTACAGTGCTACTTACTTTTTCTAAATTTGTATACAGTTTAAGAGATACATGGGTATATGAATATATACACATACATATGTATCTCCATTGCTGAAAATAAGTACATTTGAGTTTGTTTTATTAAGTAGGAAAGTACTATTAAATATGTGATAAATGACTCCAGTGCTAAGATACCGGTAGGAATGAGTGAGCCAGCTGGAAAAGTTTTCAGTGACAAGTGAGGAAGAGTTTCCCGAAAGTAGGAATGAGGGAACAAAAAGCGGAAGAGAAAGAATCGACATCCTGACACGGAACAAGTTTCGGGTTGCAACTGCAGAATGCTATTTTCAGTGACACTCTGAGACTCAAATTGATGCATCAATTTTCTCCTTGAACAAGCAAGTCAAGTTTAGGACCCAAGGCAGCCAGTATCCAAGCGCAATCTTTACCCTCAAACTTATCCCCTGTTGCCCTGGCCAGTGCGGCTTACGTTGGTTGGAGCATCGTCCCACACACCAAAAAGTTGTGGATTCCATTCCCAGTCGGGGCCCATACCTAGGCTGTGGGTTCTAGCCCTGGTCAGGCACACGCAGAAGGCAACCTATCCACGTCTCTCTCTCTCTCCCTTCCTCCCTCTCTCAAGTCAATAAATATATCTTAGGGAGAGGATTTAAAAAAGAAAAAAAACCCTTATCACCTGCCAAATCAATCTGTGGTAGGATGCCCAGACTGTGACAGGACTCTGGTTTGATTCCAAGGGTGAAAGGAAAGGAGAGAAGGTTAAGATTTGATCCGTTAGTGATTTTTTTTTCCAATTCTTTGACCACAAAACCCTAAAAAATAAACATCTTTTTTTAAAGCCTGTTGCTTAGTCCTGACCGGTGTGGCTCATTTGGTTGGGGGTCATGTGGCAAAGCAAAGAGTCACCGGCTTGACTCCCAGTGAGGGCACAACCCTGGGTCTCAGGTTTGGTCCCAGGGTTGGGGGCATTCAAGAGGCAACTGATCGATGTTTCTCTCCCTCACTCTCTCCGTCCCCTCCTCTCTCTCTAAGAACAAATAAACAAAATCTTTTAAAAATATAAAAATAAAAAGCCTTTTGCTTAATTCGATTGGTCCATAGAGACCGGTTAGGGAGTATTAAACTAAGTTATTTCTTTGCTATCCTATCTCTACCTGTAATAAATGTACACACGGTGTAATTCCAAATACAAGACAATAAGTATTTAAAGGATAGACTTCAAATTGTTAACAGAGATTATGTCCAGTAAAGTTTAGGAACTATTTTTTTATTTTCTCATTTCCATGATTTCCAAATTTTCTACGATGAACATGAGTTACTTATGCAATTGGGGGAAATATTAATGAAATTCATAATTTCATAGAGAAATTAAGAGAATGGCCTTTGAGAGTACTGCTTGCTCCCCATTTAATCTGAAGGGTGTACCTTTGGTCCTATTGATGTTTCATCAATACACTGTAGTTACAAAATATGTTCTTGGTCAAATAAATTTAAGAAACACATGGAAAACATCTAGCATCCAGTAGATAATTAGCAGATAATAAACTACTATTTTCATTATGTATTAGTATCTGAACTAGAAGCTAGAGACAAAAGAATTAATACAATCTAAAACCTGACCTTGAGGAATTCACAGTCTAGTAATGGAAGCAGATGTATTAATATATCCTAATGCAACATAAGTATTTTCCACGTTCAAGGACAATCAATGTTTAAAAAGGCAAAAGAGTTTGCTAAAACTGTGAAAGCATAAGTGTAGGGTGATCTCAAGCTTCTCAATCAACTCAACGTTCTATTGCAAAGTGCAAATGTGGGTTTCCTGTATCCATGCTTATATTTTCAATTTTACCATTTTCAAAGTGCTTTCCACACCCAATCCTCTTAACAACCCAAACAGAAGCAAAGCAAACGCTCTCCATCTACATTAGGAAAACTCGGGCTGATTCCCAAGGCTAACTAGTGGTAGGTCCAGTATCGGACAGACATAATGGAAAACAGTACACATTAATAGTTTCAAGTTATAGCAATGCAGGTATATATACTTTAAACACATGCAGCCATCAATGTTCCAACCTCAATGTAGTCATACATCCGGTTCATGTGAAAACTACATATTTGTAGTTAGGGACATGACAGTATTAGCCCAAATGTTAGTGGTATGCACAGACTAGTGATTGCTGTTATCAGTGTCCAAGAAAAAAATAAAAATAAAAGCAAGCAAGGAGGTAACTCCTTCCTAGTGTATTATTTTCCAGAAACTTAATATCTTGAGCTGCAAAATGTTTTTTAAAAAATAAATATCCCCTCTATCACCCTGGACTCAACTGTATTAGGAGATGTACATTCTCCACAAGAGCATATTAAGCATTAACACATTGAAACTTACTACAGTGCTTTACAGCCTGTCATACAAGTAGAGGAAAACAGATTTTTGAGTCTGCCGATGTTTAACAAGGTTATTTCTTCAAAATAAAATTTGGATCATCCACAGTGACAGGTTAGATAGCTTCTTAGAGGGTCTAGTTTTGTTTTGGTTTGGGCTCTTAGTGAGCACTTTTCTTTTCTCAAGTCGGCAAACACAACTGCGGTGTGTACTGCTTGTCTCCAGAACAGGACTATGGCCATTAAAAACTGCTTCTGCAGCAACAGCTTCAACACTAAAAGCTGGTTTTGGGCTTTAATCCTTGAAGGCACATTAGCAGTCCTATGTTTACCTTATAGTTTAACAGTATCTAAAATACAGATAAACCAAATGAGAAATAACATGGCATCTAGCAGGTGACCCCTTAAAACCTTTGATGATTTTCACTGAGTGGGAGGCAAGGAGAACCACTGAGTACTATGTGTAACTGATAAAATTATACGGAAGGATGCTAATATATTTCTGTAACATTTAAAAAGGAGTTATGGTTCTAAATCAAGTTTTAGACCGTGCATTTAGAAATTTACCATTTCAAGTACAACAGGAGGCTGCAAAGTCCAAGCAATTTTAACCCAGTTTAACATTCACCTCTAAAAAAAAGTTAACACTGATTGAAATAACCCATGAAATGTTCACATTCTATATACATCATGCTTGGAATGAAACAGACACTTAATAATGAAGACGCAAAGATTTGGCCTGCTATCTGGGAAATCAGAGGGTGCACTACCTAGTCTCCTCTCGGCAAGACAGCTCTTCCAAAGAAACTTCTTTGTTTCCCTCACACAATACTGTCCTGTCACAAACTCAATCATCTTCTTGTCTTTTGGGAATCCACGCGTCATTGCTAGGGTGCAGGGTGGGGCTTTAAAAAAAAAAAAAAAAAAACACGACGAAACAGGTACGACATTTGCAGACTTGGGAACCTGGCCGTTCCAGTTTCTGTCCCATCCAGGCCAAGCTCTAATTGTAACCTTAGAAAGTGTACCCATCTCAGAGACTCGGTTTTCCTCTCTTATTATCTTGCTCCGAGTGTGGCGTGGGGGGTGGGACTGGCCACCAGGGACTGCAGACACCTGGGCTGCAGCGCGCTCCAGGTTCACGCAGTTCCTCGGTCCTGAATTGCTGTGGCCCAGGATCTGCCCCCAACCCAGGCTCAAACACTGGCTCACTCAGCGCAGTCCGTTCCCGCTTTCCCCCAACCGGATATGCGACCCCCGCCCCACGTCTCCCTCCGCGTTCCCCACCTTGTGCCTCGCTGCCCGATCATTCTTCCGAGAAACTGTCCATCTACCTTTCATTCTCACCCTGGTCCTTCCTCCTCCTGAGAATCCCTGACACCGCTGCACTCAAGAGATCCTCACCTTGGCTTTGTCTCAGGACCCCTTTCCTCCCCACAGGAGACCTCCCCTTCACATCGCCACCTCCGGAGGAGCCCCCTATTCACACATGCCCATTCTTCCTTAAATTCTCACGTTATTTCCGCCCGCCAGCCTTTTGCCGAGCTCCAAAGAAGCGGGAAAAATCCTCCCGCATCTCCGCCATCGGGTTCTTAGGACCCCTCTCACCTCCGCGGTGAGAGATGTGTTTACTGAGGAATCGCTGCTTCTTTCTCTGGTGCAGCAAGGTCGGGTATTTGAGCAACAAGAATGAGGTCACCAAGTACCCTCCCAGGGTGGAGAGAAGGTAAAAAGCCACAGTGGACGACATCTCAGTCACGGTGTGGGAAGTCTCCCCCCTCTGGGGCCTCTGAACTCCGCTGCTGCGGTCGCAAGGACGGCGCCAGCCCCTCCGAGTCAGCTCGCCCCCAGCCGGTGCCAGCTGCGCGGCGCACTTGTAGGCGCCGGCCCACCGCGCAGGCGCAGCTAGACTCCAGCGGCCAAGCAACAAAGGGGCTCCCGCACGCAGGCGCGCTCCGGCAGAGGAGCCTGCAGAGGACCCGTAATGAACCTTTGTCACCTAGCTTCGTGGTCAGATCTGCGGCGCTTCAAAGAAGCCCCAAGCGGAGGCAAAGCTTGGACACTTGCCAGTGCCTTCCACTCGGGCAGAAGAGAATGTTCAAGAACGGCCTTAAGGAAGGCCTGGCATAATTAGAAAATCCACATCAAAAATGAAAGATGCCAGAGTGCATCTTAGCCCTTGCTCTGGGAAATGCAAAGAACTGTTACTGATGGAGGAGTTAAAGCTTGCTAAAATTGATGGGATAATAAACCCATCCATTTGTCTAGCCAAGGGAAAACTTTTCCTATCGTAACACATAACCATAGAGGTACCAATTTTTGGCCTATTGGTCAAATATTTGAGGGACGGGCTCCTCATTTCATTGTGAAAATGCAATCCCCATGCTTGGTACAGGATAAGTAGTCAAGAAATATTTGTTGACTTACAAGTCTATTTAAAATAGGGGGACATTGAAAACACCGTAGGTTATCACTTAAAAGTCTTAGGAAGTCAAGAACCTGAATTCAAGAAGGCCAAGTTTGTTCCCCTTTCACCCCACACATTCCTAACTATTCTAAGAGCCATAGTTTAAATGCAAAAGAACCCTGAGCCCAGGGAGAATATTTGGCAAGAACAAGTCTCCCACAGAAGTAAAATGAAGAATGATTATTTAAAATACTGTGGCTCTTGTCTCTGACCTGAAGCAAATTACTCTCTTGTTTCTTTATCTGTAAAATGAGGAATTTTTTTTTACTAAATATGAACCTCACCCAGGCTGGTGTCGGTTAGTGGACTGAGTGTGGGCTGTGAACCAAAGGGTCGTGGTTAGATTCCCAGTTGGGGCACATGCCTGGGTTGTAGGTTAGGTCCCCAGTAGGGGGGATGCTTGAGAGGCAACCACACATCGATGTTTCTCTCCCTCTCTTTCTCCCTGCCTTCTCCTCTCTCTAAAAATAAATAAATGAAAGCTTTAAAAAACCCTCTTACATTCTATTAATGATCTTAGTTTCCCAAAATTCTTGCTTCCTTTAAGAGGAGCGAATAAAAGAAGATTCTTGAAAACAGGAGCGTTCACTAGATTTTGAAAAACAGCTGAAAAAGATCTTGGCATCGGTTTATTATCAGTAATCTAGTTCTTGATCTAAAACCAAAATACCCAAAGAAATGGTAAAGCCTTTGTAGAAGAAAAAAATAAGTATAAAAATTGTAAATGCAATTGTAGGGGTTCAGAACAAGTCATCCCAAAATGTGCTACTCTGGCATGCAGATTATTTGGATATGAAAACAATCAAGAACCTACGGAGGATCTGCAGGGAGATATCATTTTAGATTATTGTAGTTTAATCCAAACTAGATGCACTAGACAGAGAGTTAAATCCATAGGCCCACCCTGACCCGTGTGGTTCAGTGGATTGAGTGTTGATCTGTGGACCAAAAGGTTGCTGGTTCAATTCCTGAGCAGGGCACATGCCTGGATTGCAGTCAGGTCCCCAGTAGGGGACGTGTGCAAGGCAGCTGATCAATGTTTCTCTCCCTCTCTTTATCCCTCCTTTCCCCTCTCTCTAAAAATAAATAAGTAAAATATTTTTTTAAAACAACACAGGCCCAAAATGGCATCATTCACGCTAAAAGCCCATGACAACAAACCTAGATTTAGTGCCTCATCAAACTGCCGTCTCACCCTCTACCAAAAACATAATCTTAATCATCTAGTATGTAATTTTCTGGTCAAGCACCAGTAAAGTACCTGTTACATGGGCCACCACTGAAAGACATGGTAATCTCTATGATGAAAATCTTTCCCTTTTCTTCCCCCAAGGAAAAGGTAGCCCAGCCCCACCCTTGATACCCTTCGTCTCTCTCAGCATCAGTTCCAAGAAGGCTGGACCGAGAAAAGGAGACCCGGGAAGGACGCCCTGCTCCCCCTAGCGATCATTAGCGGCCTTGTTCCATCCCGGAAAGGGGGCGGTGCGACTCACGTGATCACGTTGGCGGAGCAGCTGTCAGTATCCCCAGCCACCAAGGGAGAGGAAAAAAAATGAGATGGTGACGAAAGGCGATCGGGAGTGAGGCCCTAGCAATGCAGATGGGCCTTCTCCCTCCGCCTGCTTTTGCTAGCAGAGCCCCCAGGCCTCCCCTACCACGCCCCCGCGCCCACCACCAACCTCACCTCCCGCGGCCCAAAAGGTGCAGGTGCCTAGCAGCCCTGGGTTCTCCCTGCCTCTGCCCCGCCGCCACCGCCCACGACCGGACCCACCGAGGGGGGCCTCTGTTCTGGCACCCGGGCAGCAGCTGGGCAGGTGGGCCGCTGCCCAGGCCGAGGGGGCGCCCAAGACACCGCTGAGCTCGTGTAGGGACGACAGCAGTAGCTGCTGCCCCTCCCAGCATCAGCGCCCCTTAAAAAGGAATTAAGGATTTAGACAGGTTGTGGCTGTCAAACTAAGAAACATTCAAAACCTGTAGAGAATTTTTGTGTTTATTTGAGCCAAACTGACAATGCCAGGAAACAAAACCTCAATGAGTTGAGAAAATGCTCTGAACAATGGCAGTTTTGCACCTTATTTCATATATCACAACCAAAAGAGGAGGTGTAAGTGGGCTACCTGAAACCCACTGGATCATGGAGGTGGGACGAAGCAAAGCTGGGAGACCTCCGGGATTGCATTAAAAGTAAAAGGTAGCAACCTTTTACGGAGGTGGGTACAGGATTGTTAACAGGATAACAGTAACAGTGAGGGGACTTGTGGTCTCTCCTGGGGCAGTGCCTGTGCTTTGAGGGCTCTGGAAAAAGGAAATTTGACATTCCAAAGGTGTGTTATCATGGATGCAAAAAGACAGTAGACAGGCTCAGCTAAGGTGAAGATTGGCCTTTATTAGAGAAAAATACCAGCCTAGGACAGGACTACCCGCCATCGAAGGGTTTTTGTTAGAAAGTTTTGATTTCCGACCACCCTCTGTGGTTACTTTAGGTCCCAGAATTCGTAAGGCTGCCATGCAGGCCTCCCCTGAGTATGTCAGGTTTCGCCTGTGGCCCCTTCCCTTCCACGTGGCACACAGGTGCACACACACCAGGCTTCTCTAGGCGCTCTGAGCCCTGTGGTTTCAGAGCTGTGTTGAGGAAATGGATCCGTTTGGGTTAGTGGGGGAGCCTGATCTGCTCCTGTGTTTGTTTTTATTCTTGAGTGCTTATGGGCTTGTGCCACAGTTGCTGGTGAATGGCTGATTAAAAACTGAAGCAGAAAACCAAAGCATATGTGGTAATCCATCCCATTCAAAGTCATTTTGGTAAAATCCAAAATAAAAGCTATCCTGGCTAGGTGGCTCCGTTGGTTGGCGCATCCTCCCATACACCAAAAGGTTGCAGGTCCAATCCCCTGTCAGGGCAAATGACCTGGGTTTGGGTTCTATCTCCAGTTGGGGTGGAGGCAACCAATCGATGTTTCTCTCTCTCTCTCTCTCTTAAATCAATAAAAACATATCTTTGGATGAGGAATTAAAAAATACCTTTCTTTAAATAAATAAATCATAGAAACGTGTCTTCCTCATTCGATCCCCTCATTTTGCCTGAGAAGCGCGGTTCCCTGTCTCCTGCTGCAGGAGATGGGGACGCACCATTGATCCTGCGGCTGTAATTGCTGGTGATGAGCTTCTGGAGCAACTTCTGAGTCACACAGCAAATGAACAGGAGGATTTATTAGAAAATGACTTTTTATCTCATTTCCTCAAAGTCCTTTCTGGATCCGTACTGAATTTCTCCACAGTGACTGCTCTCCAATTTTCTCACAGTAAGTTTCTCTAGTCTCGTGTTGAGATGCATTTTTTTTAAACCACGCAATTGCTGCTTTGTATTAAACACATCGTCACATCTTACCAAACTGTGAAAAGAGCATAAATTGTAGCAATAACCCGCAAGATTTCTTTATATGTTAATCTGGATTAATTAAATTAGACTCCAGTTTTAAGAGCATTTACAAAGTAAAGTTTACAAGGAAATAGGATCTTTAAAAAGTAAGGTGTGTCACTTTTTCAAGAGACTAGGGGAGTAGAATGGTTAAATTTAAATGTTTCCATTTTTTAAAAATAAATGCTTAACTACGTATTGGAGGAGTATGAGTCTCAAACCAGGAATAATCCCATTTAGGTGGTCCTGACAGCACACAAAAAGGGAACTTCTTCTGCCTGACAGCTGAACACCTGCCTGTGCTGAGGGAGCAGGCAGAGCCGCCCGGAGAATGAAGGGGACGGGCTGTGGAGTATTGTGTCTTGTCTGTAGGGGGGCCTATGCCACTTTATATTTCTTGCCAACTTGATTTTAGTACGTCTTTTACAGCTACAGTTTTTACTTTAAGAAATCACGTGTGGCCCCAACTGGTGTGGCTCAGTTAGCTGGGCATCATCCTGTAAAGTGAAAGGTCGCCGGTTTGATCCCCAGTCAGGGCACAAGCTGGGGGTTGCGGGCCCAGCCCACGTTTGGGGCGTGTGCAAGAAGCAGCTGATCCATGTTTCTCTCTCACATTGATGTTTCTCTCACTTTCTCTCTCCCTTTTCCTCTCTTTAAAAATAAATAAATAAGATCTAAAGAAAAAGAAAGGAAGGGATCACAAGTGGCCCTGGCCAGTGTGGCTCAGTTGGTTGGAGCGTCATCCATACACCGAAAGGCTGAGAGTTTGATTGAGTGGATTGAGTGCCAGCCTGGGAACCAAAGGGGTCACCAGTTCGATTCCCACTCAGAGCACATGCCTGGGTTGCGGGCCAGGTCCCCCTCTTTCTCTCCCTTCTCCTCTTTAAAAACAAAGAAACAAAATCTTTTTAAAAAAATACTTGTATATTTATGTCCTTGCATGACATTTTTTCTTAATGACAGTCTACTTTGTGTACATTTGTCCTGCT